AGGTGTGTCCCAGGCTACCCCTCCCCCCTCGATAGCCCCTCGGGTGCAGCCTCCTTCCCCGCAGTCCTCCTCGCAGCCTGCTGCAGACCCTGCGGGAGCCGATGCTTGTGGAGAGGGCCCTACAGGTGCTAGCTCTAGGGGTGCTGGAGTTGGAGCTGAGCCTGTGGTTGCAGGAGACTCTTGTCTTCCGGGAGCTGGTGTTGGTCCTGCTGTCTTTAGGGGTGCTACGTCTGGGAGTGCGGGTGCACCCTCTTTGGGTCCTGGTGAGCCTTGTCGTGTTGCTGTTGGTGGTGCTGACTCCGGGGGTGGTGCGCCAGGTGCTTTGGAGGGCGGTCCCGGGGCTGCCGCAGCCCCCGACACTACTCCTCCCCCCCACCCCTACCCGACCCGGCACTAGGCTCGTGTTCGCCGTGCCCGTGAGGAGCAGCTGGAGTTGGAGAGAGAGGAGAGAGAGTTGCAGCGGCTGGAGGAGCAACAGAAGAAGCAGCAGGAGCAGCTGCAGCTGAAGCCGCCGCAGCAGCAGGAGGCGCAGCAGCTGGAGCCGCTACAGCAGCAGGAGGAGGAGGAGCAGCAGCAGCAGCAGCAGCCGCCGCCTCCTCCTCCTGTCTCCGGTCTTTGGGCCCTCGGTCTCCCCTCCCGCTCTCCTTCCTCCTCCCCCTCTCCTCCCGTCTCGGGTCCTCCGCTTCCTCCTCCTGACCCCTCCTTGGTTGTTTTCCCTCGTTCTCAACCTCCGTTGTCCCCTCCTCCTCAGACTTGGGCCTCTCGTCGCTCCCCTCGTGCTCGTCCCTCGTCTCCTGTTCTCGTTACTGACCTTCGTACTGCCCTCTTTCGTTCTAGTCTGCCTCGTTCATCTCCGTCTCTCCTTCTGTCTCCTCCTGAGTCGGCCATCACTGTTTCTCTCTCTACTCCTGTCACTGACTACTAGCGCAAGTATCATCCTGTTCTCTCTCGTGTTTTCGCCTCTCTTGTTACCGACCCTCGTGCGTCTGTCTCCTCTGTCTCCGCCCTTACTGCCGCAGTCACTGAGTTTGCCTCCACTCGCCGCCTTGACTACGCCACCGGTCTTGTGGCTGCTCCTCCTACCAGTCCTCTGGACGTCGAGGGTGAGTCTGCCCTTGGCTGTGACGTCTTAAAGGACAGGCAGTTTGAGCTAGAGTTCCTGGCAGCCGCTTCCCCACATCTCTGTGCCATGCTGCTCGCCCCTGAGGGAGACCCCGACGCCCTTGATATACCGACTCCTCGCACTTAAGCTGGGGCAGTGTCAGGGCCTTGGGCCTCTCAATGGAGAGCTGCCGTGGATGCAGAGATGGCCTCCTACAGATCCACAGGCACCTACGTCGACGAGGTTCCCCCCCCTGGGGCGAACGTAGTCGATGGCATGTGGATCTACAGGGTGAAGCGGCCACCGGGATCTCCTCCGGTCTTCAAGGCGCGCTACGTGGCTAGAGGTTTCAGTCAGCGCGAGGGAGTTGACTTCTTTCAGACCTTCGCGCCTACCCCGAAGATGACCACTCTTCGGGTGTTACTGCACGTAGCAGCACAGAGAGACTACGGGTTACACTCTCTCGACTTCTCAACCACTTTCCTTCAGGGTAGCTTACACGAGGAGGTCTAGCTGCGTCGTCCCTCTGCCTTCACTGGCACTTTCCATCCTGGGACCCAGTGGAGGCTGAGGCGACCTGTCTTCGGTCTTCGTCAGGCTCCTCGTGTGTGGCACGACACTCTTCGTTCTACCCTCTCTGACCTTGGGTTCCAGCCGTCTTCTGCCGACCCGTCGTTGTTCGTTCGTTGTGGCTCCACACCGTTCTTTGTTCTGGTCTACGTCGACGACCTGATTTTCGCCACTGCTGACTGGGTTGCCTTGGCAGACGTGAAGTCCGAACAACAGAAGAGACACACGTGCACTGACCTTGGTGAGCTGCTCCACTACCTTGGCCTGCAGATCACCAGGGACAGAGCTGCTCGCACCATTACACTCTCACAGTCACACATGGTGCAGCAGGTCCTTCAGCGGTTCGAGCATCGGCAGTCCACAGTACAGCGCACACCTCTTGTTGTTGAGCACAGACTTACTGGACCCTTTCCTGACGAGCCGTTTGAGTCTAGTGGTCCCTACGCAGAGCTGGTGGGCTGCCTCATGTACCTGATGACTTGCACTCGCCCGGACCTCGCCTTCCCTCTCAGCATCCTTTCTCGCTTTGTTGCGCCAGGGAGACACCGTCCTGTTCACTGGACGGCATCTGTGAGGGTGGCAAAGTACCTAGCGACGACATCAGGCGTGGGGCTAGTTCTTGGACGGCAGCAGCCTGTCGTACTTACTGGTCACTATGACTCTTCTTACGCTGACGACGCTGAGACTCATAGGTCTACTCATGGGTATTGTTTCAGCTTGGGTTCTGGAGCTGTTTCGTGGCAGTCCAAACGCTCCTCTTCAGTCTCGACCTCTACAGCTGAGGCTGAGATCCACGCTGGTGCCATGGCGGCACAGAAGCTGCGTTGGTTGACCTTCTTGCTCGCCGACCTTGGTGAGCGGCCGAGCTCTGCACCGACCTTGTTCACTGACAACAAGGCGTCGATTCTCCTTTGTCGAGAGCCGCGACTGGAGAGCAGAGTGAAGCACATTAACGTTAGGTACTTTCTTCTGCGAGAGTTGCAGAGACGTGGACAGGCTCGCTTCGAGTTTGTGGAGTCCGAGGCCAACACTGCAGACATCTTCACCAAGGCGTTTCAGTCTTGTGACCACCAGAGATGTTGTGTGCAGTTAGGCCTTGTTGACACCGTTTCTAGTCGTGTATAGGCTTGAGTCTACTGTTTGCTTTGCTTGTACTCTTGCTATACACACTTGTGAACTCTCGAACTGGCCTTGTAGCCCCTGTTGCTTGTGCTCAGAGTGTGTGGTGACGTTGCGATCCACCCTGAGCTTTGTTTCTTTGTGACTGGTCTTGTGATTGTACACTTTAGGTTCTGCTTGACACCCCTCACTTAGGCTATGGGGGTGTGTTAAATGTTGTAGCCTGTAGTGAGGTTTGTCTTAGGGGGTACAGATGTTAGGGTTTGTTATATGTACCCCAACCCACATTAATTAACCAACACTTTCATTCTTTACATTTTTTTACGTACATTTGCATTTGTGTTTGTGGGATGTGTGTTTCAAAGTGTGGTGTTACTGTGTGTCCTGTATGCAATTAGAGGTTATTAATCGTCTTTGGGGCAGCGAGTTTTCGCTGTTTCAACGACCCCATCAACCTCTGTTGCTGCATGATGCATTTTAACATTCACTTTGAAGCATCTACTCCACCTCATACCTTGTTGTTCATTTGTACAATTGTGTTGATGCCAGAATACTATGCTTGGCCGTACGATCCGCCGTATTTATCGATGAGGTTGGGACGGTCGAGCAAGTTCATGGTTTCCACATGATACGTCGTTCCGGTATTTGGTTCTACATATGGAGATCTCATTCAAGAGTGTTTGTATCCACTATTTGAGGTATCCGTTTGAGCACAGATTCAAAACATGCTAACGGGTGCTCCAAAAAGTGGTAAATTTCACTCTTCGAGTCATATCCCCAAAATGTCAAGCCAAATATCAAGGGTTGCTACGCAACCCAAAAAACAGTGTACAGGATACCCTATCAAGAGTTTGCCGAGCATTTACGTTTCCTCGCGAAATCCTGATTTCCGAGATATGCTTGGTGGAAGGCAAGGCGCAATGTTGCTGCCAAAGCCACATCAACCATAAGGACAAAATCTGACACCAGCATTTTCGCGAGCGTGCTAACGACAAGACAATTGCTGCCCTGATTTCATGGCATAACTTGTCTTTCTTTCCCATCAACCCTCGTGTCGTGCATCCCATTCATCCTCCACTCGTCCGTAACCTCTAAGCACGTGGGACCATCTGCCTGAAAACAGGGAGCAGCGGCACCAGTTCCTCGGCGGAGTTTAAAATCTGCTCACCGCGGCTCGTCGCTCACACCAATGCCGTCCCGTCGCCGTAATTCCCCGGACCAGACTAGAACCACCACCGCCGCTCTCAAGCCACAGAATGCTGATTGGGACGGGAAATCACAGCAGAGCCAAACCAAGAAGCATGTTGTACAGAAAGGCTGTGCAGAAGCAGCAAATCCTCAATTGCAGCACTTTCGCTTCTCGCTTCATTGACAGCAGCAATCTTTAACCTTCCTATCGGGTTGCACAAAATTACCTGTCGCCATGGCTCCGACATTAGTCCTTACCGACCACGCCGCGAGAAAGCGACTCGCGGAGAAGGCGGCGAGGGTGATGCAGCTGCTCGATAACGACGCGGACGATTCGGATCTTAATCCTCGGGCCATTACTACCGGGCCGTCAAGACGGGTCCCGGTAGCCGCACAAGTGTCGTCACGTCAGCAACTCCTGAGCCACCGGCGCGGGGCGCCACGACTGTCCTTGCAACTCTCCGAGGGGTACGAATGCTGCAAAGTACCGACGCCGAATCATCATGTGCGACGTGTTTCCAGCTCATCGTTCGGTACGTCCTCCTCGGACTCGCCGCGTTCACCGGCTTCCTGCCGGTCAAGCGGTAGCGCTTCGACGGGTTCTCCTAATGGCTTCCAATCGCGCGGTCATGCGAGTCGCGTCGACACCTTGGGCCCCAATCATGGGCGACACGTCAGCACGCCGGTTCCTTTGGCGAGCGCCTCGGCGCTCGAATCGCCGCAGCCGTCGAGTGTTCGCCGGAGTAGCAGCAGCAGCAGCGGCGTGAGCGCCGGCCATTCGACGAAGGCGATTCGTCAAGTCGAGAACCACCATCATCAACGAGCCGCCGATTCAACGCCGCACAACGCGGGTGCTACTACCCCTTCCGCCGCCGCACGAGCACCACCGCGCTCGCGCCCCGGCCTAAAATCCAGCTCGTTGGGCAGCGCGGCCACGTCGAATGTCCCTCGATCCCGCCGACCGCAGCATTACGACACGTGGCATGGCGATTCGCTCGATCGCGTCCCGATTCCGACTCGAATGGCGCACACTGTCGAGTCGCCGGTCGGCGCTCGCGCATCGCACCATTTTTCGCCACGAGAATCGCCGCGAAAGCAGCTTCACTGCGCTGCGGCGGAAGGCCCTGGCGGACAGCGCGCCGAGCCTTACGGTCCTCACCCTTCGCCGCGCTCGTCCGGCGGAACCGCCGCGGTTCACGGCGCACCGAAGAGCCGATCCGACCCTGACTTCGCCGCTGTTGACACGCGCCCCGTGCTCCACGCGCCGCAGAGGCAGCTCTCAAGCGACCTGGGGGCGAGAGGGCCGGCGAGGACGCTGAGCGGTCAGATCCGGCGCGCGCCAGATGATGATGATGACGTGGGCAAGCCGTTCGTGACGCGCAATCACCACGCGTCGCCCGTTGATCACAGCCGTCAGCGTTGCGACGGGCGCGGCCCCGCTGTGTCGGGTGGGAGCTACGATGACTTCCCAGCGTGCTCAACCGTGGGAAGGGGAGAAAGGGCGGAAAGAGTGGAAAGGGGACGACGGAGAGCTGCGGCGCAAGCCTGCTCCCCGTTCGACCCCTCCTCGTCCCCCACATCCCCTTCCGCCGCCTCCCCCCGCTTCCCCTGCTCCATCCCCTCGCCTCGGCACAACCCGGTGACATCGCCTGCTGCCTATCAGCAATCACCACGTCAGCTACCAGCATCAAGCTCTGTGGGCTGCGATTCGCCTGGGCAGCGTGCTAGAGGGCAGAGGAGAAGCGGCGACGGCCGAGTCAGGCGCAGCCAGCAGCTCAGTCCCTTCGACTCGTGGGACGACAGCGAGCCGATCTACGACGATGGCGACCCTATGCTGCAAAGTTCACCTTCCCCTCGGTCACAGAGGGGTTTCTCCAGCCGCCAGCATGCAGCGTTCCAGTCAGACTCGGAGGAGGAAGAGGACTGCCGTGACGCTAACGGCGATGAAACTCGCCGTCCCCTGTCTCGGTGGCGCTCTCACTCTCTCGCGGAAGATCCAATTGAGGAGAATACAGCTGCGCGCCGCGTGCACACTCTAGACCGCCGCCCTGCGCCGTCGCAGTCGCTCCCTGACTGCCGCCTCCCCCGGCGCTCATGTGACGAGCGCAGCATGCGACACACATGCAGGGGTTCGCATGGCGGTGCGTGCGTGGACGTGCAGAGAGCAGGGGAGGTGGGAGAGAATGCAGGGTGGGTGGATAAGGACTCCTTGGAGGGTGAAGGGGAGGACGTGGAGGCAGTGAGAGAGAGGCAGAGGAATGTGGAGGAGGCTGGTATGGAGCGGAGAGGGAATGAGAGGCATGGCCCAACACTGAAGAAAATGCAGGGTGGGCTGGACCTGTACCAATCCCGAGAGGCAGTCTGTGATTTGTCGGAGGACAGCAAGCAACAGTCCAGGCCAGCGGGAAGAAATGAGGGCCACACACCGTGTGGAGATGCTGCTTCTGGGGGGGTTATGGGATGTGAAAGCAGGGAAGCTCCCAAGAGCAAGCCCAAAAGCAAACTGCAGAGATCACTGAGCGATGACGATGAGGAAGAAGAGCGAGCAGAAAAAGAGGTAAGAACAAGGGAAGAGGCACGAGCTAAGGTTCTGAAACAGAGGCGCGATGCCATTCGCATTGTCAAGCAATCGGGAAAAAAGGTTCTTCCACGGAAGGTGTCTAAGTGATGGTGCTGTTGAAGATGGCGTGGTTAACAAAAGCATAAAGGAGGATAGGAGTTGTGATGTGGCTGGTGAAGATGAAAAGGAGATATGGAGGGTTGATACAAAGGCAATTTGAGTGAACGATTGGAGAGCACACTAGGTTGTGAAGTACCGTACATGGATTGCTTATAATCTACCGAATATGAGTGTCTTTACATCATTGCAGCTTCACTCTGTTACGGGTCTATAAAAAAACTGTACTGTTGTGGCAATGAAAGCCCCCACCGTAGGAACCACGGGTGCGTTGCGTCAGGAAGCGTGGCAGACAACGCAAGGCGGTCGCCGAACCCAGCACACCTGACTAGAACCTCTTGCCTGGAGATGGGGGCCGACCAGGCGAGGCAAGAAGGCAACATGTACTGTATCTCGGTCAGAATGAAACCGTAGGTCATTCATTATTTCAAAACTCATTATGCACTGTCCAAAAAAATGCCGCAGCCCGCGTCACAATTGAAACATCGATCCTGCAATGGATAGATTTTTGAGTCTACAGTAGCTTCACGACTATGCGAAGGGTAGAGTAACCTGGCTTCGTTAGCTTATGCGTGAACTTTTGTCACAAAAAGTTTGTCCAATATTGAGCCTACACCGCACTGAAATCCCGTTTTAAGCATTTAACAATTTCCGAAACGTTTAGAACTCTTCCACAATTGGAACCGCCAGGGCGATCGTGACCACGCAGGTTGAAACCTGGTTGTGGCGATCGATGCTGACGATTTCGGTGTGCGGTCCCGAACCTCATCCGGTGTTGCAATTGTGACTACCCTCAGCAGAGTTTCAGACGGATCGTGAGAATTGAAGCTTTTTTTTCCCCGGGAATAGCTTGTAGGTGTGGATGAACGATTTTCTCACCTACGAGCATGCACGAGCTGCCCCTAGCCCAGATCGAATCTCTCGTGTAATCCATGCGCATCCAGTGGCCGACGGATTTTTTTCGTGGGCTTTGAATTGAGTGCTGTGTTGCCCCCTTCATCCCACTTTCCCGACACAACGGGAGTTTTCGTAACAGCAGCAGCAGGATCAGTTTTGTTTCACTGTTCACTTCGAGGAAAACCATGACATAGCAGCAGCAGCAGGAGCAGGAGCAAGCCAGGATACGTACAGTACTTTTCTTTCCCGCCGTGGGATTGTCGAGCCATCAAGCCAAGCAGCACGAGCTTGATGGCATTTGCAAACCAAACCGCAGGAATTTGAAGCACAATCGGACTTCCCATTCCGGAGGTAAAGGTTCACATATTAGCTGTTTTGCTGAGCCACCTACCATGTTAGAACAGGATGGACGAGAGCTCGTGGATAAAAAAACCGTGCGAGTTTCAGTGGTCGTGTTCAGTCGCAGCAACGCCAAATTGTCGTAGCAACGTCACCCATCCGTCGCGGGATTGTTCCACTTCATCCGCTCGAGATCCACCTCGTCACGGCTATTCCAGCAAACCTGGCGCAATTCCGCAGAAAATCCTCGCCGGTTCCGCAGCCGCGGCGTCTCGCGTTTCTCTCCCATACTTTGCAAGCCCCGTGTCCGACGGTCCGCCCCCTGCGCAGCTTAGACCGAAGCCGCCGTCCCCCGACTCCCCCCTCCGCCTGCGCCCCGGGTCAGGCTCGCTGGAATCCCCCGCTAGCGCGCCCTCACCCTCGGGCCCTTCCGCTGCGCCTCGGGAATTCCGCGACCCGAGCGACGCGTATCCAGCCGTTCATTCTCGGTCCACGAGCGATGGCCTCGACCAGTCGGAGTTACGTCGCGCATCGCGCCGCAACCCGCGTGTTTTTAACAGCGCCTCGACGCTGCCGGCCGAGCGTCATCAGCAGGCGTCTCGCCGGTTAACTGTGAGCCGGCATTCGTGGGACAACACGTCAGACGAAAGCATCGAGCCGCTCAGTGCCGCTAGCTTCAACAGGTTGTTGCATGCCTCGCCGCAAACGTTCTGCGTTCCTTCCAGTAGCGCTGCGACGGCTCCTTCGTATCCTCAGTTGATCGCTGAGATATCAGAAGCTCCTAACCTGCGACTGGGGATGCCGCCGTCGACCTTCCAGCCCGCGAATCCCGCTCAATTTTTGATATCCCCCAATTCCCGGAGACAGATGCCGCCGAGCTGGCCTGCTGCTATTGGTCGAGCAGCAGCGCCTGCACGCGGCGGGGGCAGCGCTGACGTGGCGTCCGCAGGCGCGTTGCGCCACGCGTTCGGGAGCGTGACTAAGCTGGACGCCCTCCCGGAAGCCGGGAATCGCCGAGAGGCATCAAGAGCGACTGACTCTGGCGCGGAAACGCGCACTTATGTGCGGAGAGCTCAGAGCGGAGGAGTGACGGAAAGGGCGGCGGAGGAAGCGCGGGTTTACGCGGAAGCTGTTGCGCCCATCGGCGCAGGATGCAGGGAAGCAGCCGCTAGGCAGGCCGTGGGGCGGGGGTTCCCCGCACGTAGGATAGGTCCCGGTGCAGCTGGGGAGGCTATTTGGACTGCGCCTGGTGCGCCTGGGATAGGCAGGGGAGAGGGTGCGCGGAATGGAGCTGCGAGTGGGGAACGCGCGGGGAACGGAAGCAGCGCTGGGGAAGGGGATTGGCGGAGAGGTTTGAGCGGAAGTGGGGGATACGTGAGCGGGACAGGGAGTTTCCAGGAGAGGCGGAACGGGCTAAGCGCGCCGAGGGTTATGGGACCCGTCGGTACACGTGTCAAGCAGGCACTGGTTCTGGGTGAAGCAAACTTGGCGCAGGATTGCGGAGATGGAAGGGAGGAGGCGCACAGGCGGAGCATGGGCGCGGAGGGGATGGGGAGGGGAAGGGGGAGCGGAAGTGAGGGAGGGAGGGGGAGAGGAAGGGGGGAAGGAAGGGGAAGTGGTACGGGGGTAGGGATGGGAAGGGGAAGCGGAAGGGGAAGGGGGGTTGTTGAGAGGGCAGTGGGGGGAGGTAGCTGGAAGGAGCGGCAGTTGGGGCCAGCGGGCATGGGATTGGGGGAGGTGGGGCTGGGGAGGGAGGTGGGCGGGGAAGGGGGGGCCATGGCGTGGCGCAGAGGGAGCATGGGGGATGCGGATTGGCTGAACAGGTGGGGAGGGGATGCTGCCGGTGTGCACCGCAGGGCGGCTACTGTAGCTGGCCTGGGTGGTATGGGCGGCACGAGTCGTGTGGTGCGAGACAATGGGGGTGAAATGGGAGAAACCGTGGGCATGGGGATCGTGGGGGGGGCAGCAACGGTTATGGGGAGGGGGAGGGTATTTTTGTATAGGGGCATGGGGGGAGGTAGCTGGAAGGAGCAAGCAGTGCGGCGAAATGGAATGAGCGGTGGTCTGGGCGGCATAGGTGGTGTGGCTGGCGTGGGTCGCATGGGCGGCATGGCCAGCATGGGCGGCAGTCAGAGGGAAAGGCTAACTGATGGGCAGGTGGGGGAATGGTTGGAACAGGCACACGAGCCAGTAACGCAGCAGACTGTAACGAGGATGAGTCAATCGAATCCCTCCGGGCGGCAACAGGAGAGACCCCTCTTCGATCCCCACGGCAGGCCTCAGCTCGCCTCTCAGCAGCGCTGCTCACTTCAGAGATTGGACCCATTGCTGGTGCCAGCTCAGCGTGTCAGCCTTCCAGGTCAGCAGCGCTGTATGCCAGGTCAGCAGCGCAGTATGCCAGGTCAGCAGAGCAGTATGCCAGCTCAGCAGAGTGCAGCTGTGGCTCGTAACCTGCAGCACAGAGCCTCGTGCCCTCCTCACAGCCTTGAGGGTGCCGCTATCATCTTCCAACACAATCAGCAGCACAGCCAGCCAAGAGGTCCCGCCTCCCACCCTCTCAATGCTGCTGCCACTCCTGCTTCGATCTCTGTTGCTGCAGCACTGGGCCCACACACTAGCTGCGCCCACACCGCCCCGTTAGCATCAAGCCGTGAGCAGCGTTGGCAGGGGAAGGGAGCGGCAAGCACAGGCCGTGGCAGCAGTAAGTCCGCCTCGTTCCCCCTCAATGCTGCTGCTGGCAGCGCTGCGAGTACTGGAGGGGCGGCAAGCTCTGGTGGTGGCGGGAGCAGTAAGTCCGCCTTATTCCCCCTCAATGCTGCTGCTTCTGCCATGGCTACACCTACTGGAGGAGCGGCAAGCACAGGCCGTGGCAGCAGCAAGTCCGCCTCTTTCCCTCTGAACGCTGCTGCTGCTGCCACTCCATCGACTGGCGTGCCGGCAGGCGCTGGTACGTGCGGGGGCAGCAAGGCCGCCTCGTTGCCCCTCAATGCTGCTGCTGCCACCGCTGCACCTGCTGGCGGGGCGGCAGGCATCTGCATTGGTGGGCGCGGGGGCAGCAGCGAGTGCGCGTCTCTGCACCGCCGCGTGCACACCTTCCCCCTCCCCGCCGCCTCTCCTCTCACCCGCATCTCTCCTCCTCGTCCCGCTCCTCCTCCTCCTCCTGCTGCTGCTCCTGCTGGTGTGTCTTCTGCTGCTGCTGGTCCCACTGTGGTGTCACTGCCTACTCGTACGGCTGGCGCTGCTGCTGCGGCCTGTGCTGCGGGCAGCAGGAGTAGCGCCAGCATGCACCGTTGCGAGCATGCATGCGAGCATGGGCGTGGTGGCGTTGGTGGTGCTGGCAGCATGAGGGAACGGGTGAGCACATCAGGAGCAGGGAGCACGTTAGGAGCACTGAGTCGGGCCCCAGCCAGATGGCACTCGTGGGGGGGTGCCACGGCTGGTGCTCTCGCCACTGCACCCAGCAGCACCAGCCGTGCGCCCAGCAGCAAGCCCAGGCCAGCACACCATCTCTCCCACCCAACCTCCTCTTCCTCCGCTGCCTCCCACATCCCATCCCACACCGAGCCTCAGACGCAGGCTCGGGCCGCACCAGCAGTCCAGCTCCGGTCCCTTGTCGAGCCACCACCACACCACCTGACCAACGCACAGCGGCTCTATGAGTCTCTGCCCTTACAGCAGCGACAGTTACGTGTTCAGTCTATCACTCCCCTCCGCCTCACACCGCTTTCCCTGCACGAAACCTCCTCCTCCTCCTCGCCCCGTCTCACCGCCTCTCAGCATTCCCCAGCCTCCTTGCCCGCAGCTCCTTCCCCCCGGTTCCCTCCCTCCCAACACTCACCCAACTCATCCTCATCCTTCTCCTCCCCCCGCTCGCTCCCCCCACACCCCTCCCCTCGCTTTCTCGCCCCGCAAACCTCCCCTCGCTCTCTGCCCCCACAGCCCTCCCCCCGCTCCCTCACCCGCGGACCCACCTTCCCCGCCCCCATGCCGGCCCCCACGGCTCGCTTCGTGCCCGCCCATGGATCCTCTCTGCACCGTGACTCGCTCCTCCACGCCGCTGCCGCTGCTGCCCTCTCCGTGCCTGCCCCTGCTGCCCCTGCTGCTGCTACTTGTGCTCGCGCTGCTGCTCGCAGCACTGTTCACATACAAGCTCACTCTCGTGCACAAACCAACACACAATCCCTTGCCTCCAATGCACGGCGCACTCCGCAGCGCAATGCACAATCAGATACTCCCAACGCGCTATCTCAAGCACGTGCCCATGCACACATGCCTGTCAGCATGGCGCATGCTACACGCGCAAGGCCTGTGCCACCCAGAACGCATGTGCAAACAACAGACGCCGTACCACCGCCTGTCGGTCATGCAAGCCGCAATATGGCAATCCCCAGCTGTGCTCCTTGTAATATGAATGTTAATGGCCAACCAATGGTGCGCAGTGGTGACTCAGCAGTAGGTGCAAGGGCGAATGGAAAGCTTGCTGCAGGAAGGGGGAGAGGTGTGGGGGGGATTGCGGGGGGAGGTATGCAGGGAAGTGCAGGGGGAGGTTCGGTGGGGTTTGCAAGGGGAGGTGTGGGGGGAGGTGTGGGGAGAGGTATGAGGGGAGGTGTGGGGAGAGGTGTAGGGAGAGGTGTGGGGAGAGGTGTGGGGGATGGAGGAGCACGTTACAGAGCTCCAGAAGGAGGGGCGGGGAGCAGAGCAGGTTGTATGGGGAGGGATGTGGTGCACAGTCAGGGCGGGGGGACCAGTGGGGGGAGTGTCACTGGGGATGGCACGATGCGGGGAGAGAGAGGGGCGCATGGGGGAGTGCAGGAGGTAGAGAGGGGAGAGGAGGAGGAGAGGGAGGAGGAGGAGGAAGGGGAGGGCGAGGAGGAAGAGGAGGTGGTTGTGAGAAGGCTAGTTCACCTGGACAGTGTGTCCCTTTGCAAGAGGAGGACGGGGGGGGAGACGCAGGGGAGGCAGGAGAAAGAGGAGGAGGAAGATGAGGAGGAAGAGGAGGAGGAGGAGGAGGAGGAGGAGGAGGAGGAGGAGGAAGAAGAGGATGACACGGGGAGTGTGGTGGTTCGGATTTTCCCCCATTCGGATAGCATTTCTGTGCAGAAGTGTCAGCGGATAAGGGATGATGAAGAATGGGAGGAGGAAGATGAGGAGGGGGAGGAGAGAGAGGAGGGAGAGGTGCGTGTGTTTCCACACGCCAATAGCGTTGCTGTCCACAAATTTAGGCAGATATGGGAGGGGGAAGGGGAAGAGGAGTCAGAGGAAGAGAAAGAGGAGGTGAAAGAGGAGAAACAGGAGGAGGAATCAGGGGAAGATAGGGCTGAGGAGACAGAGGAAGAAGGAGAGGTGCGCGTGTTTCCACATGCCAATAGTGTTGCTGTGCAGAAGTACAGGCAGATATGGGGGGGGGAAGGGGAGGAAGAGGGGGAAGTGGAGGAGAAAGAGGAGGAAGACTTGGGAGAGGAGGAAGCAGAGGTGCGTGTGTTTCCGCATGCCAATAGCGTTGCTGTGCACAAATTCAGGCAGATATGGGAGGAGGAGGAGGGGAAAGTGAAGGAGGAAGAGGATGAGACAGAGGAGAAAGAGGAGGAGGAGGAATCGGAAGAAGAAAGGGCCGAGGAGGCAGAAGAGGAAGCAGAGGTGCGTGTGTTCCCACATGCCAATAGTGTTGCTGTGCACAGATACAGACAGATCTGGGAGGAGGAGGACCAGGATGGGGAAGCGGAGGAGACAGAGGAGAAGTATGAGGAGAAGGAGGAAGAGGGGGAGGTGCGTGTGTTCCCACATGCCAATAGTGTTGCTGTGCACAGGTATAGGCAGATATGGGAGGAGGATGAGGAGGAGGAAGAGGTGGAGAATGAAGAAGAGGAAGAAGAGGGTGCAGAGGACACGCCAAAGGTTCGCGTGTTTCCCCATTCAAACAGCCTAGCTATTGCGAGGCAGCGGAATGGGCTGGGGGATATAGGGAGAGAGGAGGTGGAGGAAGGGGATGAAGAGAAGGAAGAGGAGGAAGAAGAGGACGAGGAGGACGAGGAGGAGGACGTGGGGACACCGGAAGAAGCAAGGGTTCGTGTGTTCCCACATTCAAACAGTCTATCTGTTGCGAGGCAGACGAATACAGATAGAGATGGGGTAGATGAAGTGGAGGAAGCGGAGGACGAGGAAGACGACGAGGAGGAGGAAGAGGAAGATGAAGAGGATGCCAATGTGCGTGTCTTCCCCCATGCCAACAGTGTAGCTGTGCGCAAGTACAAGGAGATATGGGAGAGTTGAGGAGGAGGAGGTGGATGGTGATGGGGGGTAAGTGGTGAGCGGAGGGCAAGGCAGAGTGGCGTGTGGGAAGGGACGGAATCAGGGGAGGGTAGGTAACTGGATGGGCTGTTTAGAGTGGAGGCGGATGCATGACACCAAACAATATGCAATATAAATATGGAAGGGTATTTGCATTTGTGCGATGCACTAGTAGGCGTTTTTGGATCCCACATGTACATACCGTAGGATTGTTTTATTACGTGGAACTCTAGCTTCTTCAGCTGACAGCTCTTGTCGAGTTTCAGCAGGCCAGCCTAGGATATCCTTCACATTCACTACACCCACTTATTCGTTTGATGCACCCGCGATTGTGCCACATGGAAGGTTGGGAGCGATGCGTTTATGTCACAGAATCGATTCACACGTGTGATCAGTTCAGCATTGAATTGCTAAACGTTGAAGAAAATTGGTGGCAGAGCACTACAGTTACACACATTCGCGCTAAAGACAAGGCCAAATTTATTAGTTATGATTAGGTTAGGCCGGCCTACAGTTGCAAAAACGAATTTATAGCCACATTTTGGGAGCAAGGGACGGCAATACGCAGGGAAATGTGACTCGTGTTGGGCTGAACGCTCTAGGATCTTTGGTAGAGTTAATAGTCTGAGTAAATGATGTACGGTAGCAGCGGAAGCGTTTTGAATAAAGTCCTTGAACCACCTTGCGCTAGTATGTGAGGGCAAAGTAAGTTGATTATGTTGGGCTGAGAAGCCCTAAGGATCTTTGTAGAGTTAAAGTCTGGGTAGGATTGTAATAGCGGAAGCGTTTGAATAAAAGTCTTGAACCACCTTGCGCTAGTGTGTGAGGGCAAAGTAAGTTGATTAAAACAAGCAAATACAAGGTTTTATATAAGAGTACAAGGAATACGAACAGATATAATAACTGTCTTGCTGTTGCGATTCGATACAGTGCGACTCGGGCAACTGCTCAATGTTGAGTCAGTTGTGTGTCCTTGCTGTCGCGCTGTATTGGTCAAGTCAAAGGTCGCTGACCTTTGACCTTCGCGTAACCTCCAGGCGGTTACCCCAACCTCCGAGGGTTGACTCGCGATGCTTCAATTCGGACTGCTTCGCTTTTGTGTCCAGAGTTTCGACACGACAGAGGCGCTTAAGACTTATTGTTCCCAACACTCCCCTTCGCTTCTGGAGTGTCGCTGATGGTGACGTGGCCTTGTCCAGTCAGCAGCATGCAGTACTCGAACTTATGTTTTCCGAGCTTCTTGGTCAAATAGTCGGCTGCCATCTCGGACGTGGGACAGTAGGATAACTCGAGTATTCCTTTCTCGATCTCGTCTTTCACGAAGAAGTATCGCAGAGCGATATGCTTCGTTCTGTTCGCGAATCCGCTTTTGTTGGCGATGCGAATTGCAGATTGGTTGTCGCAGTGCAGGGTGAAGCTGGGTAACTCAGCTAACTTTGCTTCTTCCAGCAGTTCGCGAAGGTAGAGTCCTTCCTTGGTGGCTGAGCAGAGGGCGATATATTATGCTTCACCTGAAGAGAGAGCGATTAGTTCCTGCTTGTTCGACTACTAGGAGATAGGTCCGATAGGCTCGAGACGATAGACGTAGCCGGTGCGAGAGCGCCTGTTATCTGGATCGCCGGCATGGTCGGCATCGACATAGCCGATTAGCTTCGTTGACGCAGTTTCGTTCTTGTAGTAAGTCAGGCCGATCGTCGACGTGCTCACGAGATAGTGCAGTGCGCGATCGAGCTTTGTCAGGTGATCTACTTCAGGCCTCTTGAGATAAGTAGCGAGCTGGCTAGCGGAGTAGGACAGGTCTGGGCGACAGGTGACGGCTGCGAAGAGTAGACAGCCCAGTTTTCGCTGATAGTCGCGTATTCCGGCAGCTTTGAGTAGGGCGGAGTTTCCTTGGCCGTTTCCTGCCGTGTAGCGGTATGGCGTGGCGATAGCGGTAGGTGTGAGCGAGAAGCGTGTGGCGATCGTGTCGGCGTATTTCTCGGCGCTTAGATAGATTGCGTTTTCTTCTTCGCGGATGTTGAGCCCGAGGTACTGCGTAACGGTAGAAGAAACCGTGAGTGTGAGGTCTTTCTGCAGCTCCCCTTCGAACCAGGTGGTGACGTCGTCGGTGGAACCGATGTAGAGGAGATCGTCGACGTAGACGATGAGTAGGATGTAGTTGGCGCCTTTAGTGAGTCGGTACATGCCCTGGTCATGGGGCAGTTGGCGGAATCCGATGCGGATGAGGCGGGTGTGTAAGTGCTGTTGCCACAGCCGTGGGGCCTGTTTGATTCCGTAGAGGGATTTTAGCAGTTGGCAGACTTGATTGGGTTCCCCGTGGGTACCGTGAGGGAGCTCGACGAAGATGTCGGCGTCGACAGGTGCGTAGAGGAAGGCGTTGGCGACATCAATTTGCCGCAGCTTCTTCTTCTTCATGGCGGCGACGGCGAGAAGAATTCGGAGTGAGGTATGTCGACTAACTGGGGCGAATGTCTCGGTGAAGTCTCGCCCTTGCTCCTGGTCGAATCCTCGCACGACCCATCGTGCCTTGAACTTCTCGATTGTACCATCCGCTTTCGTTTTGATGCGGAAGACCCACTTCCCGGTGAGAATGGTCTTGTTCCTTGCCACGCTTGCGGGAACGACCTTCCAGGTGTTGCGTTTCTCCAGTGCTTTTAATTCTCCGTCCATGGCTTCACGCCATTTCTCTCCGTGTTCCCCCCCCAGAGCCTGTTGAACCGTCGCAGGCTCTTTAGGAAGAGGGGAGCCATGGACGGCGGTGACGAGGCCGAGGATTTGCAGTCCGGTCTGTGAGTAGCGGGGGAGAGTTGTGTCCTCGGGATAGGCTGCTTCGTCTCCCGCTTCTGGATCGGGTATAAAATTTGGCCCTATCCTTTCTGCTTCGTTGGTGTTGGCTGTTGCAGGTGTTACGTAACCATTGTCGGCGAAGTGGTAGAAGACTTCAGCGTTGTTACTTTCGCGAGGATTTTCTTCGTCCATGGGCACGTCGACGGAGCAGAACGGAAGAGGTCCGGCTTCCTCCGATGCGTTGTCAACGTTCTGTTCATCCCAGTCTGCTTCGTCCGCTGCTGAGGCGAAGGCTCGGTCACCACGAAAGCCACCTGTGGGGTCCTGATTCTCGTGCAAGTTGGCGAGGTACGTCTGAAGGGTGAGTCTTTCGTAGAAGATCACATCACGTGCTGCTACTGTTTCCTTTGAGTGGACGCCGAAGATTTTCCATGCGTTGTAATTTTTCTCGATGCCGAGGTGTAGTCCCCACTGTGCCCGTTGTGAAAATCTTCCCGCTCGTGCTTCTGGGGGTTGGTACTGTACCATGCACCCGAAAACTCGTAACATTTTTGTGCTGCCCTGCTTTCCTGTCCACAGCAGATGCGGTGATGCGTTGTTCGGGAGTGACGACGACGACAACAAGTTGTGCAGCATGACAGCGTGGTCCATTGCTGCAGGCCACTGGTGGTTGGGTAGCCGCATGCTACGTAACAGTTTGCGCATGCTGTTCTGCAGAGTCCTGTTCATTCGTTCTGCTACACCTTGCTGCTGATGTGCGTAGGGAAGGGAGAGGAGTTGCTTGATTCCCCTTTCCGCCAGGTACTGCTTGAAGCGCTGAGAGGTGTATTCGCCTCCTCCGTCTGACTGGAAGCTTTTCAGCTTTGCTCCCGATTCCCTCTCTGCTACCGGTAGCCAGGCGGCGAACGCTGCGAGAGCCATGTCGCGACTGGGTAGGTTAAGATGCCAGACATATCGAGTGGCGGCGTCGATGAAGGTGATGGTGTAGTTGTAGGTGACTTGTCTTGGTTCGCGATTGTAGAGGATGTCGCTGTAAACCTTCTCGAGTGGTGCGTAAGCTGGTGCGCTCGGATTGTGATGTGGAGCGAACGGTCGATGAGGTAAGTCAGCTTCGCGGCATGTAAGGCAAGTCCCTCGTGCCTTTTGGAGTTCTCTGCCGTCGGGTAGTAGTAGGGAGTCTTTGTCAAGAACTCCTGCTCTTATCGTGTTATTTAAAACTGTGTTGCTTGGATGTCCCAATCGTGTGTGCCAGGTTTCTTCGGAGGCGCGACGTCCGGGTGAACGTCGATACGTGTCGGAGTTGGAGTAGAAGTTGGCGACGAGGTTGGCGCTTCTGTGAACTTCTCGTTGAGTCGGGTTCAGCTGCTTTGCGGGTGTTGGTGGTGCTTCGTCGACGATGACTGGTGTAGTTGGTCCTGCTGCTACCGGTGATGTTTCTGCTGCTGTCGATGTTGTTTCTGCTGCTGCCGATGTTGTCTCTGCTGCTGCCGATGTTGTCTCTGCTGCTGCCGATGTTGTCTCCGCTGCTGCCGATGTTGTCTCTGCTGCTGCCGATTGTCGAATTGTTGCTAACGCCTGGTTCGTTCTGCTTCAGGAATGGTGTGTGAGTACCAGAAACCTCCCGGGCTGAAGTCGGGATCGAGATCCGGGGGATGCGTCCAATCGGCGAAGTTGACGATGGCGTCGCTGTCGGCAGTGCCCAAGTCAGGGACAAAATCGAGGACGAAGACGTTGTTTTTCAACATCGCCTTTCCGATGTAGAGGCCGCCTTTCCCGTGGTACAGCTTAAACTCCTGGGTGGTGCTGTCGGCTTCCAAGTGTATTCCTTTCGCCATCAGCTGGCTAACACTCAGTAAGTTATAGCCGAGTCCCTCCGCGATAAGTACCTTTGACATGTTTAATATGACGTTTGTCTCTCGTGACTGAAGCTGAACCACTCCTTGTCTTCGTGTGCGCAGGTTTTGATTGTTGGCGACCGTGATGACTACTTCTCGCGGGAGTCGATGCTCGCGTTGAACGAAACGCCCGGAGGAACACATGTGTTGTCCGCAGCAACTGTCCAAGAACCAGGTGTCTTGACCGGACGGTTCACTTTGAGCGATTGTGGCGTACGTTGGGTTCGGTTGAAGAGATTCGCGGCGAGGCGTGCTGTTGTCAAGTTGATCTTCGGGTGAGTAGTACGGTGGTGACTCTGT